CCCCGAGACTCCGCCCCCCGGCCTCTCTCACCCCCCCTCAGCGCAGCCGGCGGGCCTCCCGCTCCGACTCGAGCAGCGTCAGGACGTCCCCCTCGCGGACGGGGCCCTTCACGTTGCGGATGATGGAGCGGCTGGTGTCGTCCATGAACTCCACGCGCACCTGGGGGGGGGGGGGAAGAGAGGGAGAGAGAGAGGGGTCAGGACGACCGCCGCCCCCGGGGACCCCCGGGGCCTCCTCCTCCGCCGCGGCCCACCTGCGTGCACTGCCCCTGCGAGCCGGTCCGGCCCAGCACTTTGGTCACGCGGGCCAGCTTGATGGGCTGCACGCGGCTCGTGTCCATGGCTGAGGCGGCGGCGGCGGCGGCGGCGGCGGCGGCGGAAGAAGAAGAGAAAGATCCCGGCGCTGGGCCCGCGCCTTTATATAGCCTCGGAGGGAACTCTCGCGAGAGGTCGGTCTTTTTTCCCGGCAGGCCCCGCGCGGGAGAGAGTTTTTTTTCTCCAGGCCTTCTTTGCTTCGTTTGGCCCCGCCCCTTGCCAAGAAGGCTCCGGGCTTGCCTTGCCGCGCACGGCCGCAGGGGGCGGCAGAGAGACACGGGGCCCGGCTGGGAAGGCTGTGCGGAGGGTTTTATTCCGTCAGTCAAAGAACACACCTGGAAGGGACCCCGGAGGTCTTCTAGTCCAGCCCCCTGCTCAAGCAGGAGAGCCTGTGCCATTCCAGGCTCTTCTTAAAAGCCTCCTCTTAATTTTTATGACTAGGAGGGTTTTTTTATTAAATATTTATTAATAAGAAATCCATTTCATTTCATTTTTACAGGCACTCCACGGCCTTGGAGGTTTTGGTTTTATTTAGTTTATTGATTCACATTTTTTTTTAATTTTATTTTATTTATTTATTTATTCACAGTGATTGCAGTGGCCCACGTGGGCCAGCTTGCTTGTAATGAACATAAACGAAAGAATGGAAATACGCACTTGCATTGCCTGTATTTATTTGCGTTTGTTGCAACGAACTCTGGGCAGTTTCCTTGCAAGTAATGGCATCAGAGTGAGTGGAGAATTCTGGGAAGTGGAGTCCTCCCATCTCACAATACTGGAGGTTGACAAATACTGGTATACATTTGGAAATTAAAAAAAAAATAACAACATTTAAAAAAAGAGAAAAACCGGTATAAGAAAGAGTTTGTCCATTTGGCTACGCTTTCTCTCCTTTTATTTTTTTCGGCTACGCTTCCCTCCTGTGCCTTGGCAAGGGGGTTGGACTAGATGACCCCCAAGGTCCCTTCCAACTTTGCTCTTCTATTCTATTCTATTTATTCCATATTCTATTCTATTCTATTTATTCCACATTCTATTCTATTCTATTTATTCCATATTCTATTCTATTCTATAGTCTATTCTATTTTCTATTTATTCTATTTTATTCTATTCTTCACTTATTCTATTCTATTATATTCCTATTTCTATTCTATTCTATATTCTATTTCTATTCTAATTCTATTCCATTCTATTCTGTATTTCTATTCTATTCTATTCTATTCTATTCTAACGTTGCTCCTCTTCCCTCCTCCCAGCATGCACCGCGCGAGGCCCCTTCGACTCTTCCGCCCTTCTCCCCGACGTGCCGCGCGGCCCCGCCCATCGAGGGAGGGGGCTCGGCGTCCCTTTTCCCGGCGTGCCCCGCGCGGAGCGCAACCTTGAGCCAAGATGGCGTCGGCCACCGGCATCATCCGCCTTATCCGCAACTTCTTGGCCGGGGTAAGGAAGGGCGAGCGGGCCGGGATCCCCGCCGCCACCGCTGCCTCCGCGAAGGCCCGAGGAACGCCTGCCCGGCCCCCGGCAGACATGTTCCCAACGACCCTGAGCGCGGGGCGGGGCCTCGCATCTTAACCCCGCCCTTTCCCCGCGCGAGGGCTTCTGGGGCCGGTAGTTTTCGCGCGGCCGTGGCTTTCCCGCTGGATCAGTAAAGCGGTCCTTCTCAACCTCAGCCGCTTTTAGCTGGCTGGACTTCAACTCCCAGAATTCCCCAGCCTGGGGAATTCCCTAAGGGGAGTGGCTAATTCTGGGAGTTGGAAGTTCACCTGTCTTAAAAAGTTTGCTGCGTTTGAAAAACACTAGTCTGAAATCTTCCAAAGAGGGTTTGGGATATTTATTTGCAAGATTTGTATCCTGTCCACTTCCACAAACTCCGGGCATGCGGGCTGGGGAATTCTGGGAGTTGAAGTCCGCAGTCTTAAAGGTTGAGAAACACAGGTGTAGAAGGCCTGGTGTAACTATTAATTGTAAAAAATAGAATGGCATGGAATATAGGATAGGATAGGACAGAACACAGAACAGGAAGAGAAGAGAAGATACAGAACAGAATAGAATAGAATAGAATAGAATAGAATAAGGAGAGAAGAGAAGAGAAGAGAATAGAGGAATAGAATAGAAGGAGGATAGGATAGGATAGAATAATTATAGAATAGAATAGAAAATATGGAATAGAATAGAATAGAAAATATGGAATGGAATAGAGTAGAATAGAATAGAAAATATGGAATGGAATAGAATAGAAAGCAGAGTAGAATAGAATAGAGAACAGAATAGAATAGAGAATAGAAGAGGTATTAGAATAGGAATAGGACTTTTACATTTCTAAATGGTGGATTGAGACCTGGGAAGCAGACTTTTAACTGAGAGAAACAGATTTATGCCTTTAAGGTCTGTATGTAATGNCCCCCCCCCCACATCTCTCTGTCCAGAGTGATTCTGAGCAGCAGAGGGTTAATCATGCTTAACACCAACATATTAGTATTCTTATTTAACAACTCTCAGCTGAGAGAGTGCCTGTGTTTGTTCCGACACTTGAATAGGCTTTGTGGTTTTCAATTGCTACTAAGAATGCAGTGGCTCAGATAGTGCACTTAAGTCTCTCTCTCCCTCTCCTCTCTCTCTCTTTCTCTTTCTTTCTTTCTTTCTTTCTTTCTTTCTTTTTTTCTTTCTTTCTTTCTTTCTTTCTTTCTTTCTTTCTTTCTCCAACAGAGAGACCTGCAAGCTAAACTGCAGCTGCGCTACCCAGAGCTCATCTCCAAGAGGTAAATTCTCGGCATGAGGTTAGAAAAAGCTCTGGACTTCAGCCCTGGTCCAAGACTCCACACTAGATGGTCAGTTTGGCCCGAGAAATCCCAGCTTTGATTGTCCCAAAGGTGTTTTTCGAAAAGGCAACTGGACTTTCTTGTTTTTCCTTTGAAGACGTTTCGCTTCTCATCCAGGAAGCTTCTTCAGCTCTGGTGGGGAATGGAGGGATTTATACTCCTTGCAGACTCTGGTCATTTGCCTTCTTCTAGAGCAGGGATAGGCAACCTTGGCTCTTTTATGACTGGTGGACTTCAACTCCCAGAATTCCTGAGCCAGCATGGCTCAGCTTGGAAACCTCTCCCTTTCCCCTCAGCATGGCTGGCTCAGGAATTCTGGGAGTTGAAGTCCACGAGTCATAAAAGAGCCAGGGTTGCCTACCCCTGTTCTAGAGGGTCGTTGAGGCCACTTCGAGGCTTATCTGTGACATCAGGGTCACCTGAGGGGTGCAAATGTCTGTGGAGCCTTCTTGACTGCAGGATGTTCTCTGTCCCGGGTCCCTTCCCTGTTGCAGACGGGTGCAGGCTGTTGGGGACGAGTCGGTGTTGTCTGAATCTCAAACTGGTGAGCAAATGGTTCCTATGCCCTTTGGGATGAAATGGTGCTGGAGGATGAACCGATTTCCCAAAAACATTGCAGACCACAGGAACATTTGCCCTTCAGTTTGAGATGCAGACAACACACACTCATCCCCAACACCCGTCTCCAACAAGGGGTCTCCACATCCGTGACCCTGAGGACACAGATACGCCTCCAAGGGGCCTCTATGGCCCTCTTGAAGGATGCAAATGACCAGCTGTCTGCAAGGAGTATAAATCCTTCCATTTCCCCACCATCCAGTCAGAGCCGAAGAAGCTTCTTGGATGAGAAGCAAAACGTCTTCAAAGGAAAAACAAGGAAGTCCAGATGTCTCCTGAAAAAGCCCCCTTGGCAGAATCTCCACAGACACCCAGCTTTATCTGCTGGCATCTCCTGATAGTTGTTGAGGAGCTCCCTGCCTCATCTCAAGCCTGCCTGCAGAAGCTGTGGGTGCTCCAACACTGGAGTTTTTTAAGAAGAGACTGGACAGCCATTTGTCTGAAACGGTATAGGGCTTCCTGCCTGAGCAGGGGGTTGGACTAGATGACCTCCAAGGTCCCTTCCAACTTTGTATTATTATTATTATTATTATTATTATTATTACTACTACTATTACTATTATTACTATTATTGTTATTGTTATTATTATTGTTATTATTATTATTATCAATCATCGCACAGTCAGCCAGATGTTCAGACTGGATATGGCATTTTTGTCTACCTATCGAGTCCTTACCAAGGACCTGGGATAGGCAGATGTGGATGTTTGAATTGATGGTATTACAGATACCATCTGTAATTGGACTAGAAGACCCCCAATGTCCTTTCCAACTCTATTATTATTATTATCATCATCATCATCATCATTATTATCATTATTATCATTATTACTATTACTATCATTATTACTACTATCATATTATCATTATTACTACTATTATTATCATCATTATCATTATTACCAGTAAATGCCTAGTGGGTGCAGGGTCTGAGCCCATCCAAGACCTCTGCTGGTCCCCCACCTTAGGAGTCCCTTTCGTGGCCCCTGGAAACGGAATAAGGATCTGGCCCACCCTTGGAAGGGACGACGTGGCCCGTGGCTTCCAGCCCCGGTCAAGCCAGGATGTTCCTTCAAGTGTCTCTTATTTGGGTGGATTTTCCACGTTGGCTTTTCCTGCTCTGATCGTCTCCTTCCGCCTCCCCGCTTTGCAGGACCCAGCCGCCCCCCCGCCTCCCGCTGGGGCCCAGCCACAAGCTAGCCGACAACTACTACTGCACGCGAGACGGGCGCAGGGAGGCGTTTCCGCCCATTGTCCTGATGTCGGCTCAGAAGAAGTTGGCCCCCGGAGAGGAAGCTGGAAGGTAGGCGCCCCCCTCCGAGCCCCTCGGCCATACCTGCTGAGACCCGGACGGCCCTAAGAGCTCAGCCTGCTTTGTAAAGGAGCCTTCCTTCCGGAAAGTTCCTTCCCAGGGAAGCGTCAGGTGGAGCCCAAGCTAAACAGGTCCTTGTTTGGCGTCGCCGTTTCCGGCTTCTGAACAATGACCCAGCTGGCTGAACTGCCAAAGCTCTTAGGGTCTTTTAGGTTATTTTAGCTAAAGGTCTACCTCTATTGCAATAGAAACCTGGGTGTTTAAAGTTCTTTTTTTTCTCTGATTTCCCCTGCAAAGTGGTGCGTTAAACCAGCCTTCAAGTTGGGTTTGGTTCCCCAGAGGCTGTGAGTTTTACTCTTCTCCCGAGGCCTTGAAACACTTCAGGCGGGGGGGGGAAAAATTGGCTTCCTTTCCTCCCAGCCAGGTTTCTTTCACGGGGAGAGAGAGACAGAGAGACGCCTTTCGGATGCCTTTTTATTTATTTCATTTATCACGGTTTGGAACCGCCCTTCTCCCTCATGGTGCACCATAAAATAATTAAAAACAAAACAAAGTGCCGTAGAAGTTAAAATTTAAGAAGAGGCGAGGATGATTAAGAACACAGTTAAGAATTGGTGGAAAGGGGAAGGGAAGGCTTCCAGGGTGCTAACTGGGCCCATGGCTGGGTGCTTTTCTGTGCACCCAAGGGAAGGCCACCGAACCGTTACGGGAGGCCAGGAGAGTGGAGGGGGGGGCTGCTTCACCTCTGGGGGTGGTGGAAGGAGAATATTCCCCAGGGCAAGGGCAACGGCAGAGAAGGGTCTCTTCTGGGACCCCACCAGTCGGAGTTCTTTAACTGACGGGGTCTGCAACACGTCTTTCCTGTTGTTTATCGGTCCTGCTGAGCACCTGAGAGAATGGGAGGGTGAGGGGAGCAGACCCCTCCCCCAGAGGTGTGAACAGGAAGCCCCTTCTTAAGCTGGCAACCTGGCTTATGCTTTTATTTCATATGCTGCCTTTATTATATAGAAGAATAGAATAGAATAGAATAGAATAGAATAGGAACAGGAATAGAATAAGAACAGGAATAGAATAAGAACAGGAATAGAATAAGAATAGAATAAGAATAGAATAGAATAGAATCAGAAACCTCAGAGGTCTTCTAGTCCAGTCCCCTGCTCAAGCAGGGAGAACCTATACCAGTGATGGCGAACCTTTTAGAGACCGAGTGCCCAAACTGCAACCCAAAACCCACTTATGCATCGTCGGGTGCCGGGTAGGTGTGGCCCATTGGCTGGGTGTGGCCAATTGGGGGGCATGGCCCTTTGGGTGGGCATGGCTGCAGTGGTCACGGCAGACTGGGTGGGACTAAAAAGTTCAATCAATCAATTCCAACTTTGCAAAAAAAAAATTCCCGCAAAAAGTTGAAATTGACTGATTGAACCTTTTTTTTTTTTTTGCACACGGCGGTGGAGGCCTAAAGCAAAAAGCTTTTATAAAACCCAGCTGAAGGCCTAGGACTGGAGCAACGGTGCACGTGCCCACAGAGAGGGCTCTGAGTGCCACCTCTGGCACCCGTGCCATAGGTTCGCCACCACGGACCTATACCATCTCAGACAAGTGATTGTCCAGCCTCTTCTTAAAAACCTCCAGTGATGAAGCACCCATAACTTCTGGTGGCAAGCTATTCCACTGGTTAATTGTCCTCCCTGTCAGGAAATTCCTCCTTAATTCCAGGTTGCTTCTCTCCTTGAATAGTTTCCATCCATTGTTTCTCGCCCTTCCCTCTGGTGCTTTGGAGAATGTGACCCCCTCTTCTTTGTGGAATACGGCTGGAATACGGCTGTCAAGTCTCCCCTATTTCTTCTTTTCTTCTCTTTTATAAATAACTCAAGGTGACAAACCTATCTGACACTCCTTCCTTCTCCCGTTTTCCCCACAACCACCTTGTGAGGTGGGTTGGGCAGAGGAGGGACTGGTCTAAAGTCACCCAGCTCGGTTTTGTTTATTAAATTTCTATGCCACCCACCTCCCCCTTACAAGGAGATGGTGGTCAGCTTTTCATGTCCAAGATGGGACTGGAACTCCCCGTCTCCTGGTGATTGGCCTAAAGTCACCCAGCTGGCTCTCATGCCTAAAGTGGGACTAGAACTCACAATCTCGTGGCAATTGGCCCAAAGCCACTCACCTGCTTTTCATTCCTAAGGCACAGCTAGAACTGACCATCTCCTGGCAATTGGCCAAGCCACCCAGTCATTTTTTTAGGCGTAAGGCGGGACTAGAACTCACCGTCTTCTGGTGATTGGCCAAGCCACCCAGTCAATTTTCAGGCCTAAGGCGGGACTAGAACTCTCCGTCTCCTGGCGATTGGTGAAGTCACCCAGCCAGCTTTCATGCCTGAGGCGGGACCAGAACTCATCGTCTCCTGGCGATTGGCCAAGCCACCCAGTCAATTTTCAGGCCTAAGGTGGGACTAGAACTCACCGTCTCCTGGCGATTGGCCAAGCCACCCAGTCAGTTTTCATGTCTGAGGCGGGACTAGAGCTCACTGTCTCCTAGTGATTGGCTAAGCCACCCAGTCAATTTTCAGGCCTAAGGCAGGACTAGAACTCACCGTCTCCTAGCGATTGGCCAAGCCACCCAGTCAGTTTTCATGTCTGAGGCGGGACTAGAGCTCACCGTCTCCTAGCGATTGGCCAAGCCACCCAGTCAACTTTCAGGCCTAAGGCGGGACTAGAACTCACCGTCTCCTGGCAATTTTCAATTTTCAGGCCTAAGGCGGGACTAGAGCTGCCCGTTTCCTGGCGATTGGCCAAGCCACCCAGTCAGTTTTCATGTCTGAGGCGGGACTAGAGCTCCCCGTCTCCCAGCGATTGGCCCAAAGCCACCCAGCTGCTTTTTCATTCCTAAGGCAGGATTGGAACTCACCGTCTCCTGATTTCTAGCCTGGTGCCTTAAGCACTAGGACCAAACCAACTTTTTTTAATCCCAGTTTACGGCCTCCGGACGTATCCAGCGTGGGGAAAGTGCTCACACGGCCTCTAACGTGCAGCTGTCCCATTTCTGACCCACAGCTCGGACTCTTCCGTCACAAGGAGGGAGAAGCTGCCTGTGACCCCCGGCTTCCCCCCTCGGAAGTGGGACCTGTCCAAGGACGAGCCCTATTTGTGAAACCAGCCCCCAGGCTCAAAGGCCGGGCTGTGGGTCTGGGTCTTTCCCTTGGGGGCGAGCAGAAGCAGCAGAAGCAGCATGGAGACGCACCCTGCAAGGACTTTGTTTTTCTTCTCCTCCTGGGCTAATTAAATAAAGATAATCAATCGATAACGTGACTAAAAGTTCCACACGACTTTAGGGGCTGGTCGGGCTGGCCAAACAGAATTTGAGGAATCGGTGTTGGAATTGTTAAACTCCGATGATACAGCCGGAATAAACGAAGGCACAAAACACGGGTTAAGAGTGGATTTATTGATTTATTAACATTCTACCCTGCCCCCTCCTCAGGAGACTCTGGGTGGTAGACAACATTCAACCGTCTAGCAGAGCTGGAAGGGACCTTGGAGGTCTTCTAGTCCAGCCCTCTGCCCATGACAGGAGACCCTATACCAGGGGTAGGCAACCTTGGCTCTTTTATGACTGGTGGACTTCAACTCCCAGAATTCCTGAGCCAGCCATGCTGAGGAGAAAGGGAGAGGTTTCCAAGCTGAGCCATGCTGGCTCAGGAATTCTGGGAGTTGAAGTCCACAAGTCATGAGGGGGCCATAGTTCCCCCATGCTGGCTCAGGAATTCTGGGAGTTGAAGTCCACCAGTCATGAGGGGGCCATAGTTCCCCCATGCTGGCTCAGGAATTCTGGGAGTTGAAGTCCACAAGTCATGAGGGGGCCATAGTTCCCCCATGCTGGCTCAGGAATTCTGGGAGTTGAAGTCCACCAGTCATGAGGGGGCCATAGTTCCCCCATGCTGGCTCAGGAATTCTGGGAGTTGAAGTCCACCAGTCATAAAAGAGCCAAGGTTGCCTGCCCCTGCCCTATACCATTCTGGACAATCGATTGTCCAGTCTCTTCTTGAAAACCTCCTCCAGTGTTGGGAGCACCCCCCGTTTCTGGTGGCAAGTTGTTCCACTGATTCATCATTAAGAAATGGCAGATTGACCACAAGCGTTTATTTATGCATGTATGTTGTGTATTTATTATACATACATACAGAATTGAAACGAGTTACAAATTTACCGATAAAAAAATCGAAGTATGGAGATATAGACCATATATGTGTGTATGTATACATGTATATACACATATGCACACATACATACACATTCTCCCAAAATGTCTTTCTCACAGCATTCAGCTGATGTCCCCAAATATCCAGGGGGGGGGTCTGAGAGGGGCTTTCGACCAATCGGATGCAGGGCTGGCATTAACAAAAGCAAGCAGCCCCAATTACTGACACCCAGAATTGATGCTCAGTGTGAAAAAGTGGAAACGTCAGATTAAACCTCCATCCAGCTGTGTGTTTACTTTCTTGCAGAGACTGGCTAGAAACCTCTGGAAAGTCCCTAAGACACATGCAAGCATGCATGCACACACACACACACACACTGCTAATATAGCCAAACATCAGGAGGCATCTGGTAGCAGCTTTTCCAGCCGAACAAGGTCCAGAAGTGTTGGGTGGTAAAAGCTTGTTTTGATTTGATTTTTTTGATTTTATTAGATTTCTACCCCGCCCTTCTCCTTGCGGACTCAGGGCGGCTTACAGCCCGTTAAAAACAAGTAAACAAATACAAAAAACATACCACATTTTAAAATCAATTTAAAATAAAATATTGCAATAGGCCAATTAGTATCCTTTAAAACCAATAGAAAACTAATTAAAAGTAATACTTAGGCCAGTCCTGCCTGCTTAAAAAGCCACGTCTTGAGGGCGCGGTGGAAGGAGGGGAGATCCGGAATCACCCGGATCTCTGGGGGGAGTTCATTCCAAAGGGTGGGGGCTCCCACCGAGAAGGCCCTCCCCCTGGGGGTCGCCAGCCGGCACTGTGGCTGACGGCACCCTGAGGAGACCCTCTCTGTGGGAGCGTACCGGCCGGTGGGAGGTAATCTGAGGCAGCAGGCGGTCCCGAAGGTGGGCTGCTTGGAAAAGGGTCACAAGTCAAATAGTCTTTGCCGGTAGACTGCTCCTGAACAGCGGGCTTTTTTTGGGTGGTTTTTTTTTGCTGTTCCCCACCCAACCTCAGTGAGTCCTCGAGCAGCGGGCGATACCAGCAGGGATGGAAACGCCAGGGTGGCGAGAGCGGAAAAAGGCTGAGCCTCCGAAGGTCACCTTGGCAGGGAGCTGCCCAGGCTGGACCCCCTCCCCATAATGGTCGGAGGGCACAGAGATGGAGGATGGGCTTGGTGGGGTGGGCTAACTGGCAGGCTGCTTGGAATGGTTGGAGCCTCAATCAGAATAGACCTTGGAAGTCTTCTAACCCAACCCCCTCCTCAGGCAGGAAACCCTGCACCATTTCAGACAAAGGGCTGTCCAGTCTCTTCTTAGAAACCTCCAGTGTCGGAGCATTCACCGCTTCTGGAGGCAGGTTGTTCCACTGGTTAATTGTTCTAACTGTCAGGAAGTTTCTCCTTTGTTCCAGGTTGCTTCTCTCTTTGAGTTAGTTTCCATCCATTGCTTCTTGTCCTGCCTCCAGGCGCTCTGGAGAATGGATTTGTTTGGAACGTGGCTCAAGATCCCAAACAAACAAACTTACTTGGAATTCCAGCAAGAAAGTTTTATTCAAAATAAAGCGTTTGCAAAGGCTTGGTGGACTGAAACACACACACAGGACTTCAGCCACACCTTAAAGAGCTGTTTGATACATTTTCATATCCTTTCCCCGACCGCAGATTCCCCTCTCCTCTATCACACTCAACACCCCTTCCCTAATCATCCGATAAACTACCTGGACCACCTAAAACCACTGTCCTTCCCATGTTCCACGAAGCCCCTTTGTCCATATCCTAACTTTCACCATCTAATTTTCTGTTAGCACAGCCTGGCTCCTATAGTTATTTTGATATTTCCTCTGCTTGCAATTTCAATTAGCTAGCAGTGTTTCTCAACCTTGACAATTTTAAGGCATGTGGACTTCAACTCCCAGAATTCCACAGCCAGCATTGCTGGCTGTGGAATTCTGGGAGTTGAAGTCCACATGCCTTAAAATTGTCAAGGTTGAGAGACACTGAGCTAGTGACTTCTGCTTTTCTTACTTGTATGAAGTTTACCTGTCAGAATTTATGACTTTCAGGTGGCTTCTTCTATCAACCTTTAGATGCATTAGATTAGAAATTTCTGATTAATAATCTACTCCTTTCAAATTGACACCCCCTCCCCTTATTTATGGTAACCCCACAAATCCTGGAAGACTGCTATCCTGTCCTCCCAGTCCTTTTCTCTAGGCCAGTGGTTCTCAACCTGTGGGTCGGGACCCCATTTGGGGTCGATCGACCATTTCATGGGGGTCGCCAAGCAAGGCTGTCCGCCATTTTTTTTGTCCGCCATTTTTCCCCCTTTTCCGGCGGGTGCCTTACCTCCCTTGGGCTGGGCCAGCTGGTGGTCGGCCTGCTCCGTCTCTGCCGCTTGCCAGCTACGCCTCGGCC